AACTTTGGAAAGTGCCTGGAAACCATGACCCAAGCCTTGTAAGTGAAAATAGGTAGACGGAATCCTTGGGGCCCTTCGATGTGCTATTATGAATAGGTATTGGCTAGCCTCCCCAATAGACAGATAACCTCGAATACGAATAGCCATACAGTAACCTTCTAATCTGAATAGTTCTTAGATCTTGTAATGGGTAAATATCAGTATAAAAATATGCGGGGTGAGACCGAAAATTGTCCACTTTTATTGGTTAGGAAGAGATTCTAGTATTTCAGAATTTGTCTATAGATTTGAAGAGAGGGATTCTCTTAGCAGTCATTTCCTGAGATTGGAAACAAAGTTAACAATTATTTTCCCGTCACACTCCTTTATCCGATATATCAATCATAATCTTCAGTTTTCTCCAAAAGATTATATGATTTTCAATTCCTTTTCATCTCACACCTGTTTTCCTTCTTGGGAAATATCAGACACAGATGTTTATTTGCTTCATGGTTTTTGCCATTTTCAGTAGCTTCTTCTGTCAAATCTGGTGTTCTTGATCCGGAATATTAATCAAAGACTATATTATTCTTAATTTGTTTTCCTGTCATATCCGATGTTTTTTTCCCGGGAATCTCAAACAGAACACACCATATGGCTTAAGAATTATATTGATTGCAATTTGTTCTCCTGCAAGCCAGAATTATCAACCATAAGCTGTTTGTCCCAAGGGTTAAACTATATTTATACTTGATGTCCTTTGTGGAGAAAATCAGATATAACTGTCTATTTGAGACGAGTTATTTGTTATTTCCATTATCGGTATCCCTGCTCGGGAATATCAAACATAACTCTATATTTGATATAAGGTTCATATTCTAATATCTGTTTTCCTGTCAAACTTCTGCGGCCCATGCCGGGGTATATTTATCGTCTTTCAGTTGCGTCTCTGCCTTCGGGCAGAGTGCGATTCAGTTGTGGCCCTGTCTTGGGATAGAGACGCACCTGGGGAAAAATACTGTGAGGTGCCCGGTCCCACGGACCAGCTGACATCGGCTGTGCTCTTATCATTGCATTAGAGAAGGGGAGGAGGTCGGTAATCATACCGAGGCCAGAGGGTGCTGAAGCTGAGCAATTTTTGTCCTTGGCCCGAGTGAACACGCTCGGCTTACCCACAAGACCTTGTACCACATCCTGTCTTTGTGGGGAGACTAGGGTTTTCCAGTCACATCCGGTGTTCTTTCTTGGGAATTTCAAACAAAAACTTCTCTTTGAGCCAATGGGAAAAATGTTATTCTCAATTGCTTTACATCTAGTGTATTTCGGGAGCATCAAATATATCCTACAATTTGAACCAGGGTTCATATAATTCAAATATCTGTTTTCCTGTTCCATATGGTGTATTTTCTATGGAATTCCAAACAGAAATCTCTCTTTGAACCAATGGAAAATGTTATTCTTAATTCTGTTAGCTCTGATGTAAAATCAAGAAAGCACAAACATTTAAATATCTGGGAAGTGTTTTAACAGAGGACGGAAAGTGCGACACTTAAATCCGAAGACGCATTGGGAGAGCCAAAGATGCTTTCCAAAAGCTAAGTAGACTATTAATAAATAGAAAAACGCTAGAAACAAGGAAAAGAGTACTGAATTGTTACGAGATATTTGTCCTCCTGTAAAGCAGTGAGTGCTGGACAATCTCCTCAAAGATGAAAAAGTGAATTCAACAATAGAAATGTGTTTCTACAGAAGGATGCTGAGGATACCATGAACCGATTATCTGAGCAGCAACGAAGTTTTAGAGAAAATAGAAAGAAAAAGGAAACTTATACTTAACATCAGAAAGCAACAGCTGAAATTTCTAGGAAACATAATGAGGAAAGAAGGCTTGGAAAATCAGACACTCACAGGACAGAGGGACAGAAGAAAAACAACGTATGATCTATTAGTGAGCTTGAGTAAATGGATGGTGGGCAGGGTTTAAGAGAAATAACAAAAAGACAAAATTTATAATGAGCAGCAAAGGACGGGAAGTTGCGGAGAGACATGATCGCCTAAGTCATGAGGGGACACAGAACATGAAGAAGAAGAAGAAGAAGAAGAAGAAGAAGAAGAAGAAGAAGAAGAAAATAAAAATATACATTTAAATGTTATAAAATAAAAATTTCGATTTAAAAAATATATCTGTCTATAAAAGGCAAGATGTGTGTGTGTGTGTAACGAATGCACGGCCGCAATTTTCGAAAATTTACATGCACATGCTCCAAGTTAGCGGGAAGGCCAAGGCCGACTTTGGATTTCCCAACTCCCATCAATAGTTGAAATAATCGATTTTTTCATGCTTCTACGGCACTTTTCATGTACTTTGCGGCCATTTTCTACTGATCAGAGTGAGAGCCTATAGCTGGCTCCCACGAATAGGCAGGAAGATTCTATTCGTCAGCGTGAGAGCCAACAGCTGACTGACACGGATGTTAACTAGCATGCAAAAAAAAAAAAATCGATAGCTGCATTTGTTACAAGTGGGAAAAATTTAAATCTGCGTGATACTTTACTCCAGTTGGCCCATTCACTTGCTTAAACTCAATGTTGATTCTGATTGCGCAGAACTGGGTTGGGTGTGAAAAAGTATTTGTTGTTAACATTCTTTTTTCATTCGGTTTTTCCAGTTACGAGTCCTTTTTTAAAGCTGATCGTTTTGTGTTCATTTTGTGTAGTTCTTTTTTCGTAACAGATTTAATGTTTAGTATAGAGCTTAGAAAAAATTCGCAGTGTGAGATAGGCAAGAAGTAAGGCATGTAGCAACATCAGCACGGCAAAGGGCACTCCTTTAAAGGCAAGGAAGGGCAAAAATATTTGAAGTCAAGTGATAGCGATTGGTGTATGAGTCGTACGATTTTTGAATCAAGCACGGGAAACGCCGGGCCATGATGCTAGTACACACATAAATATGAACTTATTTTATTTCAATGTTTTTATTCAGTAATTTGTGCATCTTATTTAGTGTGAAATCTGTGCCTGGTATTTTTTTCACGATTTCGTCAATGTTTGGTCGAATGGGCAATAAGCAGACCCTTGTTTCTTTTTCAGAGCGTAATCTTTCATGCTTCCTAATTCTGGTGTTATTTATAATGTTAATTCATAATTCAATATAACTTTGTAAAAATTTTGAATTAAACAAAGAATAATCAATACAAAAAAGCTTAGTATGAAAAAGGTTAATATTCATTATTCAAATAATGGAAAAATTTAAAAAGTTAAATTAAAAAATAAAAAATAATTTTAAAAATGAATATTAAAACAAAGTATTTAAGATAAAGTAATCGAAAAATATTAAAAAAGAAATACTTGAAAAAATGTTGAATACTTATTCATTTATTCAGATACTAACGCTGTGCCATTTCTACTTCTACACACACACACATATGTATATGAAACATTTCTCAGAGTTAATCTGTAAAAAAAGAGAATATGTATAAAGACAAAAGACAATAGGAAAACTGTATTATTAGCCGACGCATTTCGTCTAATGTGGACTTCTTCAAGGCAAAAACGAAACGAAATGAATTTATTGGAAACAAAGTAACTATTAACAACAAACAAAATGTCCTTAGCAACTAGAAGAATTTAGAAAACGCTTTTGTGTTCATATTGTCAACTAGTTGCTAAAGACATTTTGTTTGTTGTTAATAGTTACTTTGTTTTTAATAAATTCATTTCGTTTTTTTCCTTGATGAAGTTCACGTTGGAAGAAACGCATCGGCTAATAATACAGTTTTCCTATTTTACCTATTTATTTATATATGTATATGTATGCCGTGGCAATATTTCGCGGCACACCAGTGTGCTATCTCATAGCGGTTGAGAATCACTGGTATCGTTGATCAATTGGAATAATTTTTTTTACTTTCTTATTATTATTGCCTTTCCGAGAGAAGGTCATGTAGTAAAATTTAATTTCTTTATTCCATCCTTCCTGTAATGTCCATCGTCTTTACAATGCGTTAAGCGTAAATACATTTTTTTAATTCTTAGAGGATTTCGCCATAACTTAAACGGTCTCTATTCTTCTTAAACCATCTCTGAAATCCTTGTTTGTCTCTATTCTTTTGAGTTTTCCGGGCCCTTATTTGATAGGTCATGTCTCTCACGGATGCTCGGTGATACAACGTCGTGAATTACTTCTAGCTAAATATGTTAGCAAATCGAATTTTATTAATTGGCTCAACTTGCTTTCCCATCGATTATTATACAACTATTCCGAATCAGAAGATAAGTTTTTGAATCTCACAACGCATAAGGCATTCGCTTCATTTCTCTCAAGACAGATTTTAATATTCTTTTGAAATTTCTCTCCATTGAACTTAAGCGTATCGAAAAACATAAAAAAAATTGCCTGTTTAGATTAAAATCATTTGTGACAAGTATAATACGGAAAATATGAAATGTGTTTTGATTTGCTCGCATCGATAGACGAAAATAAGATACGTTAGAAAAGGGAATAATAATTAACTGTGTTTTACTTAGGAATTTTCTTTTCCAATGGGAAATATCCAGAGAATCAAAAGAGAAAATACTTTGAAGATTGGATATTAATATTGCAGATTTAATTCCAAAAGATATTTCTGATCAGTCGACTTTCTGTTGGAGCAAATTCCATGTAAAATACGGACTGCGCAACACTAACTTCATGAAAATATCCCAAACACCATCTTTTGCATAATGTTAAAGAAATCTTAGAAGTGTATCCAAAGTACACTCAGCTGTCTACGGCTCACAATAAAACATGTTTTGTTACTGTCACCGAAGTCAAGCAATGTTGAACATGGTCAATAACTAGATGGGTGACAGCTTGGGAATAACAGGTACTGTAAGCTTTGATGTGCGGTGGTGTAATTGGTTTACGGAGTATCACTTTCAAACACAGGTTCTCAAACAATCACCGAAGCTAAGCAACGTTGAGACTGGTCAGTACCTGGATGGGTGACCGCTTACGAATAACACCTGCTGTAAGCTTAAGATTATATCACATTGAAATACTGGTTTCCATAGGATCACCGAAGTTAAGCAACGCTGAGCCTGGTCAGCATCTAGATGGGTGACGGCTTGGGAATACCAGGTGCTGTAAGCTTGGGTGTTCGGTGGTGTAATGCGCATATGTGCATATCACGTTGAGATATCGATCCTCATAGGATCACTGAACTTAAGCAACAAAAAGCATGGTCAGTAACTAGATGGGTGACTGCTTGCGAATGCTAGCTGCTGTAAATTTGTATGTGACGGCGGTGTAATGGATACTGGTTCAGAATTGAAACTCGGTTCTTCAATTTCCAATTACAATCGGGTTTGTTATATTTACTTTCCAGCAAATATCCTTGGGACAGGTAGGAATTCACATCTTTTTCTCAGTTATGGGTTAATTAGGAGAATTTATATCAATAAATCATTATGTCCAAAACAATTCTTAGAATCTAAAATATATATTCTGGATTTAAATAGCCGTAAAAGGTCGAATTCATTACATTCACTTACATGCTAATACCATTGGGAAAGGTATGAATCTTTCTCTTCTCCATCCAGCTATAGGTAAATAGCAGGACAGGCCGAGTTCTATAGCCTTGGATAGCAACTGGTCTACCGCAGAAAGAAATAACAACCTATTGCCTAAGCATGTATCACGTATGGTACATAACTGGAAAGGTAAAAAAAAACACCAAAACCAAATCAGTCAGAACTCAACTGTCTAAAAGACTTAAGAATAATTCTAAAGCTAAAAAAAATTGATTGGACTTCAACTTATAGAAACGTTGCTGTGATAATCATAATCATTTACATGTACTTTTTCAGGACATGGGTGAATATGGCTGCAGAATTTCCTGGTCCTTGTAGCTTTCAGCGATGCTTAAATCACTACCGTTGTCTTACATGCATGAGTTTCCATGCATTGAAAGACACTTATTGGCTAAATTCTTCGTTTTTTTTCCACATCTCTTTTCAGTCATTTCGTCGTATGAGTATCAAATTTTCTAAATTGTACCACCTCATAATGCGTAGCAGAACTTTCAATTATGCCCATATGATTTTAAGCATGAGTGTCTTTTTAGAATACGTTTTCTTCTCATGTGCAACGATCTGTATCTCGACATCCCAATCGACATCCGTTTGTAGAACCAAATCCCTATCGATGTCCCATCCCTACTGTTGTAGAATAGTTTTTACAGTGGAGGCTTGTATTTCAATAAGTCGTCCTAAATTAGGTTCGACGTACAAAACGTTAGGAACTTGAAATAAGAGTTAATGACGCAGCAATCTAGTTGTGATGGTTGATACTTCAATGTCCAACATCGACTGACTCGCTCAACACCACTGGGCTCAATTGGCGACCTCTACTACTACTACTACTTATTATGTGTGGGAGAGTCTATTAATAATAGAATAGGTATGTTCAGGTATGACACCTACCAACATCCATCTGCGGAACCACATCCCTATCGCCATCTGTCTATAGAAACACATTCCTTATCATCATCCGTTTATAGAAATGCATCCCTATCGACATCTATCTGTAGAACCACATACCTTTCTATTCAAGTTTTTTCTACATCTATAAGGAAATTTTCAAGCATTCACTATACAGGAGGTTAGATATTACATAGCAACCTAGAACTTTTTCTTTTCATTGTTTCTAATAAAATATCCCTCCAATACGTTCTTTGATTATTACATTTTCCAAGCCGCCTGTTACCATAATGTACCCTAGAACTTCATCGTTGCTCGCTGTTTTGAAATTCCGCAAGAATAGTTGGCTGATTATTAATTTATGGCAATGTAGGATTTATAGATTGTTTTCACTTTGCATAGTTAAGAATGGCAGAAGAAAACTCGAGGCTTCCTATAAAAAATGGAACCGAGCCCACGCGCGAATATTATTTGGAGTAATATTGGTTAATCATAATTCTTACGCATGCGCCAAGGCTTTAATTAAATTTGTGTAACTCTCTACTTTTGAAAATGCTCTAAACTACGACTGGATATTTGATAATCGCAATAAGTAATTCTTACAAATTTTGTTTATACATCCATCGGCGATTTTCAATTTGAAAAGAAATCATATTCATGCAAAAGATTACTACAATTAATTATTATTTCTAGTGAATAGTATCATCGTTTTAAGAAAGTCATATCAGAATAGATAAATATATCCGTAAAAAAATGGTCCGTAGACAGCTTCATAAGAGAGTCCTTTCCCCCTGCAACAATAACATTGTTTATTCCTCAAGCAAGAGGAAAACTGCGAGAATGTTGCTGAGAAATCATTTCACCTCCATATTATATTTCGGATCTAGCAACTCGATTAAATATGGATGCGTAGTGGTGCCAAGAAAATAGAGAGAAACTGACCATAACTCGTTGTTGGCTTCCGACAGTGTGTGGGGTACCGACTTGTTCAATTTGTACGCCTTCCCTATGTGGTGCAAGCTCACCACAGATGATGTTCTTCTCTGTGGCCGCCTTCAGGGCCTCATCATCCTGGACTTATGGCCGGCCACTGCGGGGTTCACCACAAATGGACAGATCTGGATCAATGCCTGGCGGTGTGTTCACTCACAGCATTATCTCCAAAGGTTTCACGTATTCGTCGATTTTATGTGGCTGCGGACAAGCCCACCTTAACATCATAAAGCAGACAAGCCCACCTTAACATCATAAAGCAGACGAGCGAGTTACTTAGACACCGGCATGTTTCCTCGCCACTTCTCGAACTATGACTGATGTGTGTACGCAACGCACCTTTATTGGTCAAGTGCAATTCTCCCAGCCCCATCCACCGCTTTTCCGGAACGTGAGGCACTCATTTGTGTATCACTGATCAACTCATTCCACACGACACCCAAAAAAATAAAAATAAAAATGCCAAGGACATGTTTTGGCTACTGTTGAGGGGTCCACCCCTTTTTACACAAATGGACTCACCCAGTATATACATATACTACGGCTACGTGAAGACCCGAGAGTAAGACGAGAGCAAGACCGTCGAGTCGAGTCCAGAGGGACAGAGTAAAAGGTTGTAGGTAACCGGAAGTGTGAGGGTGAGGTAACAGTGTTGTAGGAGTCACAGTGAGCGAGCACGTAGACTCAGTAAGAAGTCATACAGCGATACTTCAATACCAAAGACTGTATATATATTTTGCTACTAACCCGTATTCCTGGAACTACTAACCTGCTTTACCAGTTTGTATTATTACGTTAATACATTATTTTCATATATTCATTCCTGGCGTTTGTTATTTATTGGTACCGGATTTCAACCCGGAATCCACAACAGTTACCTTATCAATAATCGTTGTCAGAGAAATATTAATCCCAACTTCCATATACACGCAAAAAGGCTGCACTGATATGGTTAAATGCTTAGGACCCTCAGTTCTTCCGGTGTTGTAAAAAAAAAAAAAAAAAAAATCTGGTATTAACATTTATAGAGATGTTTGTTGTGTCTGCGCCATTTCGCGTTGAGATCGTTATTCAAAAGAATTTAAGGGTTAAATTTCAAGCAAAAGCATTTCGACTTGTTTGCCACTGCAAAGAATTTAGGGTGCTATTTAATCAGGGGATCTACCACCCGAATATATTATATGCCAGAACAACGTATCACTGATGTGATCTACCAGGTGAGAAAATTCTCTACATTCAAATATACATTAAAAATAGATATATACTGAATAAGACAAAAAAATTCTCTTTATTTAATATCCTTAACTATAATACGCTACACACACACACACACACACACAAACACACACACACTCTCTCTCTCTCTCTCGCACATACACACAAATATATATTTAATATATATATATATATATATATATATATATATATATATATATATATATATATATATATATATAAATTTGTGTGTAACAACTGAGTGGAAGTGTGCAAAATTTTGGCATGAGACGCACAGAAGTTAAGGTTCCCATTCCGTCCACACGCAAAAAGCTACCGCGCTGAAGACTACAAAGAGACCGCCACAAACAACGGCAACACAGTTCACAGTAAGAACTAAATTCTATCTCTTGTATCCCCCCCCCGCGTTGAACGCATAAACTTATTGACTCTGTCACACAAACGATGATCCACCCGCCCAAGTTCACGGAATATATAACAACATTTCTCTGTTTCTCACATACGTACATAAACTATATTTATTTATTTCTTCCTAAGTGGTGTTAAAAATGAAATAAAATACACTTTAATTCGTTAAAAAAAAAATTCTACACGACTAATGTTGCCCGTAACTAATGTCTGTCTCTCATAATTTATATTGAACTAAAGTTTCTTATTCTCTTTCCCAAAACAAATATAACGTGAATTTGGGCGGCTGGGTCAGCGTTATTTTCTACCCTTCCCCTCAATTGTTACAATTGTTATACTTGGATTAAACGAAAATTACCTACAATATAATACATATTACTTATAATACATTCCTTGTCGTCAATTTTGATGGCACAGGTATATACTAAACAAACACTATATATATAAGAAGCTAAAAGAAATTATTATTTTAACTAATACTATGTCTGTCAGTAAACTGTTTTAAAATCATTCAGAAATGCATTGGATAAATTTTGTGCATTGGATCGTATAATTTTCCAGCAAATGAAAAAAAAGATTAAATTGTAATATTTGGATGGTTACAGCCATCATTTTTTCTTGTGCCTGCAGATAATTTTCTTTAAGAAAGATTACATATTTTTGAAGAATCATACACTTCGATGACATACTTAAGTAGCATATACAGTGTAAGCCGGATATAAGAGAGTTGTCGGGACCGGAGAAGAAGTCTCTTATATCCGGTTTTCTCTTATATCCGGGTTTGGTCTATTCTGTTTTGGTAAGTATGGGAACACTTCATATAACGCTTTTTACGTACAGAACACTAGTTTATTTAACAGTTATAGACATAAAAACACAGACAAAAAATATATTTTCAATCAGTTTTCAAAATAATTCAATCAAAAATTACTTTTCTTAAAAAAAGTCAGTCATTTTTGATTGTACAGAAATCTCTCTTTGTTAACATCATGAACACTTTCATACAGTCCGTAAATCATTTTCAATGCGCCAT